TGTGTTTACAGAAATTGCATTTTGAAGTGCAAAAACAGAAGCACTTTTGAACCACAGTGAAGGAACCAAACCCAAAAAGATGTCCTCACACTCAAGCACAGGCATGAACAGAGCCCCCAATCACATGATTGATTATAAAATGGGAATGAGAGGAATGGAGCAGATTGTTTATACAATGGGAAACCATGTTAGCTTCACACTAATTTGCACACGCCCCACAAAGTGTGCCCCACAGCCCATCCCAGCTGTTTATTGGAAACATCTCTCTATGATAAGTATAGGAGATGTTCCCAATGCATGCTGAAATGTGCACATGGGGCGTCCCTACAACCCATCCCAACTATTTATTGGGAACATCTCTCTATAATAAGTATGGAAGATGTTCTCAATGCATGCTAAAATGTGCACGTGGGGCACACTCTGTGGGATGCCATGTAATCTCGCTTCACACCTCATTTTTTACTAGGGGTGCAAGTAGGGCGGGTTGGGCTGGGTTTATGGTCAATTTAGGCCCGGCCCTAAAATTTGGGCTTAAGGCCCGAACTCGGTCTGAGCCCAAGGTTAAACTCGATTTTTCCAACCCAAGCCTAGCCCGCCCTATAATTTGATGCACTCAAGTTGGACTCAGGCCTGAGCCGAGCTCAGGTTGGTCAATGAACCCATTCTAAAATTATACATATATAAATGTATTTATGCAAATATATATACATATGGTCGAATGGGCCAATTCAAGCTCAAACTGGGCCTGCCAAGTTGAACCCCTATTTTTATTGTAATAAATGTAATTTTGAGCTTTAAATTAATAAAATTCAAAACAGGATCAGCACTTCAAATATGGTCGAGTGGGTCAATCCATGACGTCACTATTTTTAAAAAAAATCAAAAGTTTTAAAATAATATAAAAAAATGGTAATTAAATAGCTCAAACAAAGAAATGGTTCAACGGTCTAAGTTAACGGTCAAATCAACAATTTTTCATAATATATATAGCGGGTTAAAACTTAAAAGTTGACCCAGAGAGACTATAATTGAGTCACCGGGTCATTGGGTCATTGGTGTGGCCCGGATAATGATTGGTTCTAGGCCCAACAGGCCATAGGATCCATGATTGAGCCTGGACCGCCAGATGAGTATGGCCCATCGATCATTCGGTCTGGATGAGCCAAAATTGAATTCAGATTTCTTATTCACTTTTCTATCCGCTTTTTACCTGCCGTGGCAAGGCCCATTCAAACACCGTTTCGAACAGCCTTTATAGCTTTGCATCGATATTATTTTATTTCAGGGAGATATTTCCAAGGCTATGATGACTCTTCGAATGGGCTTTGTACGGATTGAATCCAGTTACCGAAAGCATATGTATCATTTTGTATTTCGGATTCAGTGTGTTTGGATTCGAAGGGATTTTTTCTTTGAATCCACTAAAATTTTGACATGTGTCTTTCGGTATTAGATTGATCATCACTGGTGACTGGCTGAAATTTTACTGCTGGTTATGATTGATAAAAATATTTTTAAATAAAAATTGATAAATATAAAATTTTTGTAAAGAAATCTAAATAAATATTGACAAAAAGTTCAAAACCCTCATGTTTTCGTACTCAAACCCTTTTCCCCCAACCATCAAGGGAAGACAAAACCTTCCTCACGGTTGTGGCTTTGAATTTGCAAGACAAATCCTTACATTCTCAATCCAAACGCAACTCAAACCTTGCTCCTCCAATCATTAATGGGAAGACAAACCCGGTTTTGGCTTTGGATTTGCAAGACACGAGACATCTTTTTCTTCCTCCATACTAAGCTTTTAAAAGTAAAAACAATAGCTCCAATTCTCCAAAGATATCTTTTCAAGAAAAATATACTCAAGCAGTCAGGTTGTCACGCACAGGATTTTCTTTCATGATAGGCTCTCAAAAATTTCTATTTTCAAATGATTCTTGGGTTTTAGGTTTTAATACGAAAAAGTAGTATTAGGGATTTTTCAACAGAAATCAGTGAGTTCATTAACTTGGTCGTGTTGACAACTTGCCAAATGAGTTAGAGTTAGGATCTTCAGTCTTACAAAGGATTCTTGGACACAAACCAGCAGATTCATTAGCCTTTTTGTTCTCAGTCTCTGCCTTCTGTATTTTGGGGTTTCATTCACCTTTAAATACTTTGATGTTTGAAACTTTCCGTTAAGACCATTGCTGTCGTCGCTAAAATCTACAGTTATCGTTTTGTTGCAGTTTGAATACCATTGATAAGGCTTATTGTTTTACTGGTGGGAGGAATCTTTTATCAATTGTAAGTTATGACCAGTTAAGGATGAAAATGATGTATCAAAATTTTAGTGAAATCAAAGAAAAAATCCCTTGAAGTCCAAACGCACCGAATCCAAACTGATCATTTTGCCTCGTGAATTTGGGCAGCGTAGAAAAGTTACAACCTCGAGTATAATAGCATATGAATTCGGAAGACCAAAAAGTCATCATCTAATATTATTGTGGGTCCTCGATATCATGGGATCACTCAATGGATAATGAGTATATCGCGTATGCACCTGAAAAAGGCAAATTTGATCATCCAATTATAACTTACCATTTGTTCTAAACACGTGGTTGGTATTGCATTTATGCAAAAACCACTCGGGATTTGCTATCCACAAGTTGTTTCTACATCCTTAGAGCATCATCACCGTGTATTGGGAATATCTCCCCATGACAATGAGGTAATTTTTAATGCACAGTTATAATGTTAAATACATCATCCAATCTTCTCCTTTCTCCATCTGAATTGGGATCTGTCCCTCATAGAGCGCTCCTCATACCGACCTCACAACCACATCCCAACATCTCCCAAGAATAATAACATACATGTATGGGAGATGTTCTCGATATGTGGCTCGTACATGGTCGAGCTAGACTTGTTCATGGTCAGACTGGGCTTTGCCTTCTATCAATAAATACATTCAGGTTTGAGCTCGAGCCCAAGTCTGACCAACCATGGAGTTTAGAATTTAGATCTTGAGAATGACCTTAGCTTTCATAGAAAGTTTGAAACCCAGGCACCCAGTCAATTAAACCCACAACATTAATTTTAATATTATAGAAATAAATATTTTGGAAGTAATTTGAAAATAAAACCATTTTCTTCCCTCCCAGTGGTGGATAAGCAATTCAACCATTTGGGGTTAAATGGGTTAATCAACAATGCTATAATTTAATAATAAAAAACTAAAATAAACAAAATATAAAATTTAGAAAAAAAACAAAAATAATTGGGCATATATCTAATATTGTATATTCATTATTATAATAAACAAAAATAAGTATAAAACATAAGAAGTGTTTTTATTAATGATGAAAATGGAATGCCAAATCTAAAATCAGCTTAGAAATGAAATGACATCATAGTCAAATAATAAAATTTTTAAAGATTAAATATTGGGTATATCTATAATATTATACATTCACTATATTGATAAAAAATAAGTATTACACATAAGAATTAATTTTTTCAATGATGTAAATGCAATAAAAAATTTAAAGTCAATCTAAAAACCAAACTATTTTCCTTTTGGGTCGTGGGTTATTGGTTTGGGTCAAATGGACTAACTGATGATGTCATAGTTTAATAATAATTCTTTAAAAAGTAAAAAAAAAAAGGTACAAATAATCAAAAGAATGTAAACAATTACAGAAAAATTGTACACATCTAATATATTAATTGTATCAAACAAAAATTAAGTGTAATAAGTTAAAAAAAATTATAATATAGAAGAAATATATAATTTAAAATTGATTTGAAAGCAAAGTTATTTTTCCATCTAGATGGTGGGTCAAGGATCCAACTTTTCAAATAAACTCATGGTATCATAATTGAATAATAAATAATTAAAAAAGATAAAACAAAAAAGTTAAAAAGTATGGAATTTTGTCTAAAACACTTGGGAACATTTCTAATGTTAAATATTCATCATATTAAATAAAAATAATTGTCAAAATAAAATTTATAATATTTATTTATTATGGAAATGGAATACAAAATTTAATAAAATAATTTTTATTGTAATTTAAAATTTCTACATGCAATCCACATGAAGTTGGAATTTTTTGTGTATATTTACTTTTATTTTATACATACATGAATACATATAGTATATTTATTTATACTATTAAAAGTACCAATGAGGGCGTGGAACTTTACTAAACTACCCATATTTTTGAATTTAGTCCCTCTTTAATTCTAAGGGCTAATAATGTAACATCATTTACAATTTTCACTTTATTTAATTCCCTCTAATTAAGTCTTATTCACATTCTCTAATCTTGTATTTAAGGTATTTTTATTTAATAATTCTAATAATTATATATTTATGAAAATGCTTTTTAAAAATATGAAACCCATGTTTTAAAGGGTAAAATGCTAAAACATCCCCTAAAGTTTCGAGCAAAGCACATGGGCATTGAACCATCCTGCACGAACCGTTTTGGATTCGGGTCGACCCTGATCTATTGTGTCGTGTCAGGTTGGGGATGTGTGAAAACTGGTTGGACTGGACGGAGCAAGCGGTACTAACCCATCCCACCTGGGGTCTATTCCGAATTCGGGTTGACCTAGGTCGGTATATACTGGATCGGGTTAGACCGCGTTGAATTAGTCCGAACTCGGGTCAAGTTGATTTGGATTTTTGTTGGGTGAAGTATGTTGATTCAAGACAAAACTAAATTTAGTCAATAATTAATAGAAAATTAATTCATTAATTATAAATTATTTAATTCAAATGAAGAAAAACCGTTTTTAGCCACGGTTTTTCCAATAACGAACAAACAACCGTGGCTAAAAGCACTATATATAGCAATAGAATATACCATCCGTGGCAATATTCCCGTCTTTTGTACTGGCTTAAATGTAATTTATTCAGACGGTTTTTAATTTAACCGTTGCAATACACCTTCATTCTTTATTAAGAAAATTAAACCGTGGCAATTTAATTTGGGCGGGCTCTAAAACTTTTGGCTTGCACGCATTCTTGTTCCCGCGTCTCTTCAGCTCTCATCTTCTCTCTCTCCAACTGTGTCCATCTTTTTCCAAGTTCCAGGCCTCTCTCCATTTGCGGGAAAGCAGCAATGCAACCCTACAAAAGGTAGCTTCTGAAGGTTTTTTGTATCCATGCGGGGTGCGGCCTTCTTTCACTACGATTTTTCTTACCGGACGGTAATCCTTCATCCTCTTTGTCGCCTTTTATTTTCCTGTCTGTGATTTTTTTTTTTTTTCATTTGGAGCTCATTTGAAGCATTTCTGTCCTCCACTCGATGTATTTTTATTAGATGATTATTTGCCTCAGGACGTGGGATTCGATTACATTTTAACTGTTTTTACCAAAACCCAGAATTTTATTTCAACTCTTTGTTGGTTTTGAGAAGCAAGACCGGACTCTAGAGATGGGAAATAATTCTCTTTATTTGTAAAGTTGTTGGTTGAATACATGGGGTTGTACTTGAATAATTTCAAGTACTGTGAAGCATATCGTGAAAGGGAAAGGAAAAAAAAGAAACCTTTTTCTTCCCAGTTTTGATAAAATATCATAGAGAGAAAAAGGGTATAGCATTGCTGAAACGACTTATGAGAATTCATAGAATGACATTGCATTGAACTGTTGTAGATGAGTAACGATGAATCGTTGTTTGGGCAGTAATTTTAGGTGGATTGTTTTATAAAATCGTATCATACTAAATCTTCTGGCCTATACGTTTGAGGTGTGCTTTTCTTTGTTCAAATTAAGATTCGTAATCCTAACTTTCCTGCTTAATAAACCAAAACTTCTCATATTATTTGTTGGGGTTGTAGCTCACTGATTATTTTTTAGTAATGAAATAAAATTTATTAAAAGAAAAGAGAAGATAGAAGAAAGGTGACGAGAAGTCACCCAAAAGAAAAAATAAAAAAACTTTTTACCCAGCACAAATCACAATTCCAATACTCAACATTACAAACAAAATTGAAAAATATCACAGAGGGAAAACAAGGGTATTGCATTGTTGAAATGGCTTCTGAGAATTCATAGTATGGCATTGTATTGAACTATTGTGGATGTGTGGTATATGATTTAGAAGGCCATTGCTCCTTTTTTTTGGTGGTTTTGAACATTTATCTTCTGTTTTTATCCCAGTTTTGAATCAGAGTTGACTTCATGATGGAATTTTAAGCACCTTGAGCTACATTGGAATCAATCCAGCTGAGATTCTATCATGATAGCTGATCATGGCTGGTTTTTTGGTAATGGTTCTTTATGAACTTACCTCTTGGATGCCAAGGAACCCATGACTAAATGCCATTTTTCCATAAACACTAATAAGTAAGGGGTATAGACTATAGATTTATTCTCTAGTCTCCATTTACCATGTTTAAGGATTTGACATTCCTGATTAAGGTTTCAAACTCCTCCATCATACTATTCCTTGGGATTATGTTTCTTTCTTTCTTTTCTCATCTAACTTGCAGACTTCCTCCAGTATGTGAATACATTAACTTAATTAAGTCATTTTTTTCAATAGGTAATATGTTCTGACTTTTAATGTTCATATTTGTAGCTTATTATCCTTTTTTACATGATTGAAGAGCTTTAGACTTCTGGAGTCTCAAATAATCTAACTTTTCAATGATCTGGATCATATGAGAAATCCATCATACTTGATTGGAAAACCTATTTTTAGAATGTCTTCTATTGTGGCACATGGGAATGTGATTCTATAGAAGGGGTGGTTTAGGAAGTTGAAGTTTGGCAAAAGCAACATAATCCACAGACATACTGATTAAATTAGCAATCTAACACACTGATTAAATTAGCAATCCATAGACATACTGCTAAAATATTTTCTAACACACTGTTAGAAAATATTCTACAATGCCTTTTATCCCTCACCAAACAAAAGATCATTGATGACACTTTATTCCTCTAGAATGACTTCTAGAGATTGATGAATTGAAGTTGTTAATAATTTTTCACTCCATTGAGAATCATAAGGAATGACCAATCTGCAATTTTTCACTTAACCTGCAACTCCACACACTCCAACTCCCAGTCAAATAAATGTCTTCTAAATTTAGGGCACCTGACCACAACACCATTACTAACCTCAGCAGTGATAAATAGGCACTCCCTTTTTACATAAATTATACAATCTTGAAAGAGTTACTGAGTTCTATATTAGTCCATCTTTCTGATCCTGCTTGGATATCATTCAATTGATCAGTAAATATGGTACAAAAGCAGCTAAGATAAACCAATAATAGATAGAATGAAATTGGCAAAGCTAATAGGAAGCAACTGATTTAAATTTGGGAACCTCTATAAGGGACACGTGCTCTGTGCATGTGTATAAGACTGTAAGGAGCAGATTTGCTAGTGAGGTCATTTACTGAAGAATCTGAAAGGAACCTAGAAATCTTCCAAGATTATCTAGTCTTGTCATTTACTTGAGAACTTTCCCTCAACTTTTTTTCCTCTTATTTTCTGTCAAACTAAACACAACTTTAAGGCCATCCAAATTTGACCCATATATAATTAGAAAAAAGCATGAGGCCCATTCCGATCCAATCTGATATAATGATGTTTTGTATATTTACTAGTTTATTTATTCATGATATAAGATGCCAAAAGTCATTTCTAGTTTATTTATTAATAATATAAAATATTTTGATCATTTTATTTTAATTAGTTAATGGTGTACACTTTTCCATTTTGATCCAAGTATTTGAATCAAACAGATAAGATTCAATTTGAATCCAAATAGTAATGGATAATTTTTATGTATTACCAATTTGAATTAAATCTTTTTTCAGGTCTACCTTCATCCTATGTTGTTTATAGATACACTTCAAGGTTTTCAACTTTCATCTCACCCCATCTTGTATCAACAGTGACCCTACCAGCTCTACATGGAATAGGACAGGTATGGTTAAACCCAATTTGGGTTAAACAGAACCATTCTGAACCTGTCTCATTGGCATACTTATGCATTCAGGTATGCTTCTGCTCATGGTACTCATGATAACATTGGGAACTTTTGATACGAAGAAATAGGGATTTTGGTTTGGAAATAGGCAGGGGATAATGGACTATTAGGTGGCCCACAAAGAGTTGAGGCCTAGTCCATTGAGAGCCCCACCCAGGTTGAAAACTCGTGAAATTGTTCATTTTTTATAAATAACAAGGTATTTTATTGATTTCCATGAGAAAACCCAAAAACTGTTCATGCTAGACAGTAGGGCCAATACAATTCAGGCACAAGCTTAGAAAATAAACAACATAAAAATTATGATAGGAAATTACAACAGAGCCCCAGGACCGGGCATTTCCCCAATACACCCTTGATTTGTTACACCAGATCTTGCGAAACTGTCACCTGTCAGCTAGGAAAACATAACATTGTTCAGTTTTGAAGTCTGAAAACTCAACCTTCTTGATAAAATAGCAGACCCATCCTGCAAAACAGAACCTAGATGGGTATAGAGCTGTTACTAAACAAAAGTGTTTCTTCTTGCACATGCCTTAGCTGAGTTATTGGTAACAGCATTAGTCTTAGGAATCCAAACATGAATATTGGAAAGGATTTTAGATATCTCAATCAAGTAGACTATTAACCTACCTGAATTAGAACCAGCTCTCCTAGCTCACAGTATAGCATTTGCTGAATTCTGATGATGCAACAAAGACTGCAGCTGCATTGTTTTAGCTATCTTTGATCTTGTACAGGATATACCTAGATCCAATTTTATTTTTTTGAAAAATAAAGAGAAAATTCATTAAAATAAAAAGAAATACATAGGAAGGTTAACTCCTCCAGTACCAACACCTAGACCCAAGACAAAAGGACAAACTGAAAACCAGAAAAAGGTACAAACAGAAGAGATAATCTAATATTCTCTATTAACTCCTTTTGATTGTCGCCATATTCATTCCATTTCCCTCTTCCAGTTAACCCCTTTTTCGAGCTTTCTTCTCTCTTCTTCCTCTCAAACTCTTCACAAGCTTAGTTGGATCATATTTACATTTAAATTTAGATAAATGGATACCATTTGCAGTACTAATCCTGTAAGCAGGTTAAGCTTTGTATGGATGCACATCTCTGGTTATTCCACTAAAGTTCTAGACAGTAGATATTTCTGCTTGTCCTTTGTTTACAGGAGCTCCAAGTCAGAATTCTATGAGACGTGTCCATCTACCTGTTAGATGGAAAATCCCCTTGCATTATTTGATAACATATGTTATTATGTTTGTGTTTGTATTTAGTAAAACTTGCTTTATTAAAGAATTTCCAATTTATCTCCTCGTTATTTCTTTTTAATTTGTTACATTTCTTAGTTACTCTTTTTGGCATTTTTCCTTGTTGCATAGAAGGTTTAAGCTCACTACAGGTATTCACATGCATAGCAGCTGTTTGCTATTATTCACTTCACTAAGTTGACACATCTGCACTCTGCAGTAGTCTGTCCCCCCTAAAATCTTAAGCTTCATATGGTTTTGGATTTACAGAGCCACCATGAAATTGTAGTTTTAAATTTCTTTATAGTTAGGCTAAATAATGGAAGAAGTTTTGAAATATGAATATATGATTTGGGTTGCAAGGGGCAAGTAGGAGAATCATGTCTCTTAATATAGTAGTATGTTGTATATGGTGTTTAATCTACTAACAACTTATTACTTGTTACATATAGGGGTCATTTCTTGGCATAATGGTAAAATCTCATGATGACAAAATATCAGGCATGGGACATTTCATGGTTTTCATATTGAAACTAGAGGTGGCACCCGTTTTAGCTATCTTTCTGGTAGCAGCAGTTAAGTGGCACTGTTGTCTAAGTGGTGGCTTTCAATAGGCCTCCGCCTATCTGAACTGAGGAGTCTGTCAGTTTGCTGGGAGCTTGTCAGTTTGCTGGGAAACAGACATGGAGTCTTTCAGATAGGAAATTGTGGCCAATAACATGGGAAACAGACAAAACAGCATGGTTTTTGTTAACCAAAGTGCCTGTCAGTTTGCTGGGAGCCAGCCAGTACCATGTAATCTAACTTTAACCTGCATTTCCTTGAACCCAGTATGCAATGACATTGGTCTTTGCCTCGCATGGTAAAAGAACAATACATGAATTATGGGTCAGATAAATTACAACATAGAACCAAATCAGTATAGAATTTCAGCTCTTTGGTTATTCCTTCATTAAGCTCCTGACATGAAATGATAAGCCCAAATAGACCCACCCATTCCAGAATCCACCAGTCTAGTTACTTTCATTTTGAAACCATCTATCACTCTCCCTCTCCAAATATGAAGTTGGTATGCTAACCCCATGCTCCCTCAACTTGTCACTTGTCACCACCACCGACCAAGGATGTGGACAATGAAAGAATAAAAACATAAAGCTAAAAACTGCTGGGAGAAAGTTCGAAGGATGTTGACAATGGTAGTTACATTAGCTAAATTTAAGCTTAACTAGTCAATTGGCGTCACCTATTGGCATCATAACAATGACGAACGAGAGCACACCCACCCCAGTTATCCACTTAGTCTACCCCAAGTCAGCCCGCACAGATGTAGATGGTCTTGACACATGCAAAAGAAGGCCTGGCAGTTGATTGACAAGGATAACACACTTGGTTAGGTGAACCTATCTACAAGATGTTAAGACTTAGAGTCTCAGACCACTTGTTCACATTACCCTATTGCAAAATATTTGCAGAAGCCAGACCTAAGCTTACTCTTTAAATGCAACTACTAGAAAATTAAGTGCACTAGGACAAATTAACCTCACTTAGGAGTCTCAGCAGCTGCAAACATGCCTCCACCTCCCAATTGTTCAGGTTGCACCTGAACTAAGGACACCAGGAGATGCTTGCCTCTGAAAATCAAAACAATCTCAAGCAATAACACCCCTATTGGCCAAATGAGTCAAACTTTTGGCTTAACTCTGTTGATCTTGCACTATACTGTGTGCTTACCTGTTAAAGTAGTGAATGGAAAAGAATAACCTTCCCCTTACCTGTTAAAGAGATGAAAATTCTTGGATCCTTTGCAGAAGGGTTCAGATTTGATATTTATCAGCCTGATTTAGAATCACCTTCCCCTTACCTAACCCAAAATTCTATGCTATATAATTCTGATACTTCTGTGTTAATATTAAAATGCTCTTTCATGGTTTTGATATTGATGTTTAAAAAAAACCTTGTTCTCTGAATCAGCAAAGATCATGAACCAATCTGTTGCACTGCCATTGAAACTGGATATAAATGTCTATGTTTCTTTATCAGTTTGATAATTTTCCAATGGTCATGTAGTGTAAATTTTGCATGAGGAAGAACAATCATTTTATGGATAATTGCCAGCCTTCTCTCTTGCTTCTTCACACACTTCCACTCCCGAATTGCATTTTTCTGCTTCTTTTTGGTAATAAGAAGATGACTTGTTTGCCTCTAGTATCATTACCCTATGTATTCATTGTTGTTGAAATTGACAGATCGAAGTTTATGATCCAAAGTGAAAGTCTTGAGTATGATGCACTTGTATATAATCAACTGTTCAGATGCAATGAGGATAATTTTGTTAATTCTTGTCTTTTTTTGTGATGGAAAAAAAATTATTAAAAGTGTGTATTGAACAAAGACAACTATGAAAATTTTGTGTAAATTTGTATAGTTTTATCATACAGGGACAAGTGAAATTATTTTACTTTTTTTTTTTTTTTTTGTAATGGCATTCATTCAAAAATCAAATGAGAATTAAACCTTTAGCCACGGTTTTCTCACACCGTTGCTAAAAGTGCCATACAACAGCAGTTTTAGAAACGGTTATATTTTGTGACGACCATTGCTATAGCATTGGTTTTTGACCATAACTGTTGCTATAAGAATTTTATAACAACCGTTACTGTAAAAAACCATGGCAATACAAAAGGATGGTTAATAGTTTTAGCGACGGTTTTACTTAAAGCAATTGCTATTTCTACTTATTCATCAATAGTCCATATTCTATAGCCACGGCTAAAATTGTTGTTATAGCAATTTGTATTAATGGTACAAAATAAATCCGTTGCAATAAAATTTCTTATTAGCAACGGTTAAAACCGTGGCTATATGTATATTTGTAGTCATGATGTACAATATCTGTGGCTATAGGTTTTAGCCATGCCAATATCCGCCACCGACAAAAAACCATGGCTAAACTGTTGCTATAGCCTTTAACAACGGTTTTTGGCATCTTTTTGCAATGATTTTGTCCGTTGCTAAATCCGATTTTTCTTATAGTGAAATGGGCAGGTTGGGTAGGTTAGATTCTATGTGGGTTCAACAGTTTGGGCGAAAAATTGCCACCCCCACTAGTAGCCCCTCTCCTATAAATCGCATCCTACCCGTAAATTTGGCATCAATTCGTAGTCAATATTCATCCCACTTGTATGGTGGAGCTAAGAATTCTGAGGTGGGTTGAACAGTCATTCTCCCCTTTTCTTTTTATAAATGCATGTTTTTCATGTTTCAAATATATGTCCCACAAAATCGGAGTTCTGATTCATTGTGTGCGCATGCTATGTATAGAACACTACAGCCACACATTTAGAATAATCTATACTTGTATGTTGCCATTCATGGAGAGATGTTTAGGTGTATGGTTGCACATTCTATGAATAATGTGTGAATAACAAATTTATACTTGCAAAATTGTGATATGCCCACTTTTGCTGATAAAAAAAATTGTGATATGCCCAGTGTTCTGTTATTATTAGATGCGGATGGGATGGATAGGGATTTGTTAAACTTGATGGTTGTGTTACCAATAAAAAAAATTGGCTGTTTAGGTAAAAATAAATAAATAAAACAGCCTGTCAACTTGAGCTATTTGAGTATTATAATTACTCTTTGACTCAACACCCATGCTAAAGTTTCACGCATTGATGCACATCAAACCTCAAAACCAATGTTTTAAAAATTGATTCGGAATTGGAACTATTCTGGCCATTGGTTTTTAAGTTATAGTTCAACCATTCGATTTCGAACAGATGGCACATTTTAAGTAATGATTTTTAAAATTAAAAAAAAATAATAATTAAAATAAAAATGACAAACAACTGTTGAATGGGTTGAGTAATCTTTAATGTTTGTTCAACTACTCATTTACCCGCAAATGCAATGTAGGCGTTGGGTTCGGCAAYAATGATATCTCCCAACATACCAAAACTAGCTGTCACCCCACCGGTTGTAGGAGATGTAADGATTGATACATAGAATAACTTTTTATTTGATTGATAATTATATGAAGCGGAAGATATTTTAGCCATTTGCATCAAGCTCAAACTTCCTTCTTGCATGCGMGCTCCTCCGGAAGCACACACTATAATAAGAGGTAAAGATCTATTTAGTATTTTTTTTAGTATCAATAAAATTTCTTATTCTGAGGGGAAATGCCTGAAAAAAAATAAAAATTCGTGATTGGGAAGGTTATAGTAGCAAAAGCTATTGGAATTTTTATTTTATACATCGGAAGAAACCGTTTTGTTATTAATAGACCAGGAAAGGGGAAAAGAATGACTGAAAGAAAAGAAATCAATTAGTTATTTTATACATATATAGCTCGGAGACGTAGAACAAAAATTCRTTTATTTGCATCAACCTTTCGAGGGGCTCATTCAAGGTCAACAGGTTGCTAACTAATTCAATAGTTTTTGGTTGGGGATTGGGTTTGAGGTAAAACAGAACTGATTGTCTGGACGGTTTTTGGTCTAAACAATCTGACTATTTAGGTCAACAATGATTCGAAAACATTGCTCAAAACAGTATAGGTTGTTCTTCCCCTTGTTGGTAACCAATCACGAGTGAACCAAAGTTGGTAATATTTAACATGTGGGAAAATCTATGATGTGGGAAAGACATGGTATGAGAAGAGTTTTGACCAATCAAAACCCATCCATAAATTTTGATAAATAACACCTGATTGGCTATCAAGTTTATGATTCTTATTGACTGGTCAGAAGTTTTTCAGATATCATATTTTTTTCCATATCATAGTGGAACCCATTTAATACGACGCATGAACACGACTCAAACATGATACTGGGTTAGTGGGTTCGAGTTTATCTTAATCATGTTCGTGTCAAAATTGTGTCCACCCATTTAACATGATTAATAAATGTATCTATTTAAGGTTGATCCATTTAATTGAAAATGACCCATTCATGCATTTCTATATGAATGAAATACTATTATAGTAGGTAAGTGTTTCATTCAATGTTTTTTTATGAATTTATTTAGATAATAGATTATTGAATGCTTATTTTTTATTATTTAATTTAAATAAGTTAATTGTGTTGCTTTGTATTAATTTTAATTAACGTGTTATTTAGTATTGAATAAAATAAGTCAATTATGTAAATTCGAATTACATGAGTTGTATCATATTAATAAATAGATCGTATTCATGTTTAAAAATTTAATACAATTATTTAGTATTGAATAAAACAAGTCAGTTATGTAAATTCAAATTACATGAATTGTACATTATTAATAAATAGATCGTATTCATGTTTAAAATTTAATACAATTAATTAATAGTGTTGTATTCATGTCAATCCACATATCTAAATACCCCCAACTCTTTTAATTTTTCAATGTATAGATATCGGGTTCGGATTTACTACCCACGAGCTGTTTCTACATCTCTACCCACGAGACATTACAGTAAAATGTTTCCTTCCGGTAGTATGTGGGTAGCAGATCCGAGTGTATCCAGAGCACCCGTGCGCATTTTAGACGGGGCAATTCCGGTTCCAGTTTCCAACTCAGCTCGGTTTCTCCGCCCATCCTAAAGACTTCGGTAAAACCAAAGCCACCGTATAAACATTATAAGCGCACGAAAGAGCAAATGCATTTTGTTTAGATCTCCACACTCGACCTCACACTCTTCGCGCTCTCCGCCTGCCTCAGCCTTAATTTCTCCATTCCCTCTTCTCTAGTACATCTTTTCTTGTTTTAGGTTAGAATCCAAACCTCTGTTCTTAGATTTGATCGACCGATGGCGGCTATTACAGGAACGTCGATCTCTCTTCCAGCTCCTTCGCGCTTGTTACAGCAGAACCAGGTATAACCATCTCATTGTTTGGTATTCTTTCTGTTCGATGTTGTTTGCTTTCGATTTCTGTCTTAGAATCTGGTATCTTGGTTTGTGTTCCTGCTTTTCATTTCTTGATTATAGATCATGAGGACATATTATTTGATTATACTTGTTTTCGAAGTGACTAATGCTGTAGATTGTTTCTTGATAATTCCTTCATTATTATCGGAAGTTTATTACTACTTGTTATAAGTTTTTAATAACTATTTGGTAATCACCGTGGCACTGTTCGTTGGGTTTGAGCTCTGAAGAGGATTTATTTCATGTTTTCATTGATCTGAGAAAATTGTCATTATTTATTTTTGCTTGTTTTTTGGGTTGGAATCCTTGGTAATAGTTAATGGCACAACCTCTGTAAGGCCTTAGAGGCTTTCATATTAGAGGAACAAACAAGTTACATGTACCGGTTGATCCTGGTACGCATGTCGACCCTGTCTTAGTGGCGAAAGGCCCATCTTCTGTTGCGTCTTGTTGTAGTAGCTGGCGGGGCCCAATCTCCCATCTTGGGTAGGATTGAAAAATAATTGGTCAATTTTCTTCGTGGGGCTGCAGTACCTTGCAATTCTTTATAAGCATTAGAAAAAAAAAGCGTGAGTTTCAAACTCTCGTAGCCTCGTCATCTCTATTAGTTACTTCTTTCTTAATTCAATTCAAATCTTGATATTAAGTTATCCGCTTTGTTCGCGCAGATCATAGTGTACTACCTTCTATGCATGCAATTTTTTTTTTTTTTTTTGCTTGCAACGTTACTACGTCTTTGCCATTCTCAATGGGATGAAATTGTAGATTTGCATTGCATTTATGGATTTGTCCCAATGAAGGGCACTGCATGTATGCATAGATGTGTGGGATACTCAGGAGACCTAGCCAATCTAAAAAAAGGATTCAGTGACCTAGAATTCTAACTCTGTTGGACATCATATGCTCATATTATGTTATTTAGCATACCCTATCCCATGATTAAGGCTGCAACTCGGGTTGGGTTGGGTTGGGTTGAATTTTGTAAGCATGTATTTATGCATGTATGTTACATGTATGTCAACAAGTTTAAAAGGCAATTTTTTTCTAAAGCATGTAACTATGCCCTTTTGCATATAATAATGCTAAGGGAAACTATCTAAAACTCACCATGAGTTTTCATCATTTCTCTTGAACTCACCACAACTTTTCAAAATGTCTAAAACTCACCATGTCACTAACTTGATGTTAAACATACTAACGGGTGTTAATATATTACCATTTTAACCTTCATAGAAAAATATAAAATATATACAAAATAAATTAACGGTGTTAATATATTACCATTTTAATATTTAGACATGAAAAAAAAAGAAAAAGTTCAAAAAATATATTCAAATATAAAATACATAAAAACATAGAAATTACAAAAAATATAAAAATTATAGAAATTGCAAACAAAATAAAAAATTATGGAAACTATAGAAATTGAAAAACAAAATCAGAAAATAAAAATTGTATAAAAAACACAAAAAATTATAGAAAAACACAGAAATTACAAATAAATAACAAAAAATACAGGAAATTTTATAGATTGTAGAAAATAGAAAATGTAAAAAAAAACCGAAATTATAAAAAACATTGGAAATTATAACAAAACAAGGGTAATTTGATCATGAAAATTATTATTTATGCTGACATGGACACTTCTGTTAAGAAGCATTAACGGTGCACTAACGGAATGTGAGTTTTGGAAAATAAAAACTTACTGACATGGTGAGTTTTAGACATTTTGAAAAGTTGTGGTGAGTTTAAGGGAAATGTTGAAAACTCGTGGTGAGTTGTAGACAATTTCCCTAATGCTAAAAGTGAATTAGCCTCAATCCTTAAGTCTAGGAAATAAGAATATTTGGCAAAAGAAGTAGAGAGGTCAAGCCAACCCGAGACCGATGCAACACAAAATCTTTGAGTTGGGTTAGGGTTAAGATTGCAGGTCCAACATCAAGGGAAATCAAATTCTTCAAAAGTAGATAAGCTTTTCTTGAAGCACAAACAGAAACAGTGTTCCATTTAAAAACATAGTGCCTCATAAGTAATGTCTCTTGGCCTTGAAGTCTTTCCAAATAGTCTAAGGCCAAAGTCCAGTATAGGTGGAAGTGATGCATTGCTGTCTGAGCTTGTTGGCAGCATTCCTATTTCAGGTTGAAACACTACCATATCAGTATCACATAGATGATGCAACTTTAACGTTCAAAAACTTATTTGGTAGAACATATTTGACTCAAAGGTGAACATCACATTTTGCATTGGGTTTCACAAAGGGGCATTGGAAAAAAATTACATTTCCTGGATCTGGAAGGTCTTCTGGCTTCATTTGTCCTATGTGGCACCAATGTGATTGAAATGATAGAACATTTTACTCTGAATTTTGTGTCAAAGTCTCTCTCTCTTTCTCTCATGGGTTCATGCAGTTCTTCAAACTAAAAACGACAAGAATATGGGTAGTGTTCAGTGTTCTCCTCTAGCCCAAAATGATTAGAAGACTGCTCATTCGGAAAGCCAGGGACCATCAGGAGTGGGAGGTGATTTCAGGTGGCAAGGTGAAAGATCCTATTGGTTTTCTTGAATCTTATTGGTGTAGGGGACTCAAGTAGAGCTGGGTTATAGCTTTGCTTCAAGACTTGGACTGAGGACTTCTTTAGGCTTGTTCCAGGATGAGATGGATGGTGATATCCAGTCTAATATAGGCTAGATGAGAGAGGATGAGAAAAGGATGAGAAAAGGAGGATGAAAAGGGATTTTAGTTGTTGCAAGATCAAAGTGGCTAGATTCTTAGCCTCAAGAGTGAGCCATTGGATTCAACACTCGGTTAATTCCATTCCAATATTTTTGTGTAGGGAAGGAGTAGGGTGGAGTTATATTGAGAATCTTCCCTCTAGAGGATGGTATTGGCAAGTTTTTGTGGTTTTTCCATGGTATTGTATGAGTACATGGGGTTAGTTGCCCCTCTTGTAGGCTTCTTTGGTTGCTGTCCTTGCACTCTCTTAGTGGGACATGTATTCTGTGATTTAAAGACTTGATCATCACTGTCAATAGAGAAAAGGTAATATTTTAGTATCTGGTCAAGGCTATGGTTGTCCACCCTTTGCCATTCTCTAATTATGACATCACTGGGAGTCCCTTTGAACTTTTCTGAGCTTGACACCTCCTTCTTGGGCTCCCCTTCCATTTTTTTTTTGAAGTTCTTCATGACTTGCTAACTTTTCTTTATTGAATTACTTTTACCTGTTAAAAGAAGGCAGTGCGCATGCTGTTTGTAGGAATTGAACTGTATTGTCCTAAATGGAATTTTGATTCCTAGGATGAATTTATGGTTTTGGTTAGGAATTCTAGCAAACACGTTTATCCAACTCTTAGAAACATTGCCCAACAGACATGGTGGGATCCATAAAAGGTACATGACAAGACATAGTTGGAGTGTTGGACATGTCTTTTCATGGGCTCCACCTGGTTTGTAGAGTGAATAAAGCCAAGAGTTTCACAATCTTGTTTACTAGCTTTCATCTGCCTTTAATTAGTTAGAAATGAATGTCTTGTTTTCCATCTAATATTTTTGAATTCATTTCTATTTTAATATGTATAGGTTTGTAATATATGTAGTTTGGCTTGTTTTCGCCATGAAAGTAGTGCATTTAAGCTGTAAGTGGGAGAAAAGGAACTGTATACCTGACTCCAGATAGTTGGGATAATTTTTGGTGATTGATTATTGACAAATAACTATGGTGTGTATATGATTACAGACAAGCAATTCTTTCTCTAGATCCATTCTTTATTGTGACCTTAGTTATGAAAAATTTGATTAGTTTTACTAATAAGAAATTAAATAAATAATAAGTAAAGCAACATTAGTTTTGCCATGCACTTCCCTGTTAACAACATGGTAATATCGAATATTCATTCCATGCTTTTGTTCTTATTCATCAGTTGTCCTCCAACCCCAGGTAGTGATTTTTTGTTCATGTGGCTGATTCATTTTTGCAGGCATCTGGTATGAGATCTGTTTCACTTTCAATTCATAGGAAAAGCTTTCCATCTCTTGGGTTGCAGGCAACACCTCTTCGCTTCTGTGTTTCCTGTGCCGTAAGCTGCTCTAATCCTGATACTGTTTTCTTTTGTTTTACATTTTTCTTCCCTTGTTGTTGCAATTGTCCTACTGATAGTTACTTGGGCTTTACAAAGTTCTACAAAGAACTCATACTTTTAACATGTGGTTATCATATAAGCCAGGGTATTTACACTACTGACTTGACCATCTGCTTACTGTTAAGAAATTGAATTAACTTTATAACCTTGTCATCCAATTGGTCTCTTTCCTTTAGATGACCAAGGAAAATGCGTGCTACTTCCCAGATGATGCTTGCTAATTGGATTAGCTTGGATATTGATTGGGATAAAATGGTGTATCCACGTGTTGGATGTGAGATAACACCATCCATGCTATTCTTCTTTACCATTATTGAATTCCTATTTATATCATGTGCTCTTCTACAAAATTATAGTCTTGCGTTCCCTATTTTAGTTGATTCTCACTGAACCTACTATGTTGTGTATGAGTTGTCGATGCATATATGCTATTTCCTTGTGATGTTTGCTCTGATTGATGTAATCTGTGATTAAGTTGCTTATTTCATGAGCAGGCAAAAACAGAGACTGTGGAAAAAGTGTGTGAAATAGTGAAGAAGCAGTTGGCACTACCAGCTGACTCGTCAGTGACTGGTGATTCAACATTCACTGATCTTGGTGCCGATTCTCTTGACACGGTAACCAACAACTTCACGTGATCTTTCCATTAGATAATCCTATTATTTATTCTTTTTTTCCCCATTATTCTGGTATGGGGCTATTGATAATTGCCATTGTGGTTGTCCATTTGGGATATATGATTCATTGATAAGAGTGCCATAGCATACCCTTGCAAACTGATAACCTGTTTTCACTTCATAAATATAGATTATTTTGTATCCAAATAAAAGACCTTTCTCCTTGATCTGCTCTTTTTAATCACCTTGTTTGTTTTGGTTTTGAGTCATTGTTTTCTTGTTGGAAGTTAACTTCATTAAAACTTGTTGCTGCATAGACAAAAAATGCATAAAACCTGTAGCACATTATAAAGCAGTTGAGATTGATCTCTAGTCAGCTTTGTATATTTGTTGCTGTTATTGTTGTTATCATCTAAACAAGAATTCCATCTTGATGAGAAAGCGAATGGAATTAGGATAGAATTTGTGTTCTTGCCTCCCTCAAAAACATGCTTGGTTCTTGCATGCCTCAAAAAATGGTTACCTTGGCATGTTTGAATCGGTAATGCTACGGGGACCCTCCATAAATAAAACGATGTTCCCAGGATTAGCTAAGCATTTCTGTTTTCATGCTGTCGCATCTCTCTCTCTCTCCGCTTTCATTCCCTGTCTTTTGGTAATTATTCTTCCCCTGTTGGTATGTCAACCCTCAGGTTGAGATTGTGATGGGACTCGAGGAGGAATTTGGGATTACTGTTGAAGAAGAGAATGCCCAAAGCATCACAACTGTTAATGATGCTGCGGAACTGATTGACAAACTTGTTGAGAAGAGAGGTGCTTAAATGCAAGGAAGAAGAGAATTTCCTGTTGCATTTATCCAATTATTTATGATTAGCCAGCCTTCTACTCGTAGAATTTCTGTGATACTATAATGATATGAACATGGGTAGGTCCCTCGTGCTTTTATTTCCATGTTGTTTCATCCAAGCTAAATGGATAAAATGTGAGTCTTTTTATTAGTGAATTTTGCCTCTTTCCCATCTTCTCTTTGGTAATACATGGAATCTGGATCTAAAAATAATGTGGTAATTACTAGTAACTGGAAATGTCAATGTCAGTCGTTGGTCAAACATAAACATAAATATGTGGTTTGATCTTATTTACTTGGATGCTTGGCAGTCTGGAAGTGTTCATCTCCTACGTCATTTTGAAAATACCTATACCACCCCTGTTTAAAATAAGTGTTTTTTCACTAAACGCTCATATAATAAACACTTATTTTTCAAATTGGCACTCCCACATCAAGCCTTAGAGTTATAAGTTAGGGGTTCCAGATTTCTCGTCATTTCTATCAAAATCAAACATAACCTTATAAATAGGGGTTTAACAAGAATGAAGAATCCTCGACTGAGAGATATGGACGCTTTAGGATATTTTTGAAAACTGTAGATGAATGCGTAGCGTTGCTCTTCTCTGTTTTTTCGCGAGGATGTCAAACTTGGCTGGCTGGGATTGAGTTTAAAATTTGATTTTCTTTGCAAATCATGGAAAAGTGGTATTAAGTTGAAAATGTTTATAAGTGCAAATAATGTTCAAAAAATATGGTTAAAAGGCATTTAATCTTGTCCGATTATGGTATAGGGTCTCTCTCCAGTCTCCAGGCAATTGGTTGTGGTGTACTCAGTACACTGCTTATACTGATATACCTTTAGATCGGCTTCAGCTAGACTATCAACTATATAACCATGGTTTTTAAAAACGACCCGAAGACCGAATCAGTCAGGGGTCTGGTTACCGGGTTGAACGGTCTGACTGCTTGAACCGAATGGTCGACCTGTTTTGACGAAAAATTAAAAAATAAAAAATGGTCAAAACCGTTCGAACAATTAACCGCCTGGGCCATTGGTTTGCTGACCAAAATCAACGATTTTGGGGAAAATCGAAACCGGTTCTCGATTTTTCCAATCCGACCATCTGGTCTGGTTTTGAAAACCATGGTTATAACAGTTTCCGATATTTTAGTTTTGGTCCAAGCTTTGCAAATCCTTGGGTTGCGTTAACGATGCAAATGTCAAATAGAGTGTAAATGCAAATATGCAGAGTGCATTTGGGTTATTGTATACAAATGCAAAGTTTGGTTAGTTTTGTATTGATAAATTTACTTTCTTATTAAACAAACTTTTAGTTCTAATGGATGCATGCACGAATCTCGACAAAGTAATATACCTTTTTGAAAGAAAACCACTTTGAATACAAATTTGTTTCTTTTTTCCGATGTAAAATTACATCTCACTTTCGATGTAAATATGTCTTGAAAATTGTTTTTTCTGTCATTGTCAATGCATAAATGCGTTCTTGCCAAATACTAGAAAAACTGAACCAGAGTGCATATTTACACTAAACCAACATTTACACTCTAAGCTACATTTGTTTGCGATACAAACGTCAAACTAGGGTATTTATGTACCCTGGTTCAGGTGTGTGAGCATTTATTTGCCATACAAAAGTGAATTGATTAAGAGGGGAAAAATGTTTTTTTTTTCCTGACATAATCATATCGTGAGGAAAGTGCATTACTGTTTCTATTTGATGGATGCAAACTAGCGGTGGCAATTGGGTGGGTTGGGTTGGGTTTGATTTGGGTTGAGTTTTAACCCAACCCATCTAACCATCAACCCATTAATGACCCAGTTATATAAAATTAAATGAGTTGGGTTCAATCCAAACCCACTTTAACCCAATCCAATCCACCCAAACCCATTAATCTTATAGTTAAATATACTTAAAACAAAAAACTAACTCTCTCTTAACAAATAAGTTGGTCATAGCTTGGTGATAATAGTAGTTTCTATCTATACAATTGGTGAAGGTTCAAATCACCATGCATATTATTTTTATTGAAGCGGTGAAGCCATTTTACTATGTTCAAGTTTCGGGTTTGACCAAACCACTTAGTTCAAACCGGTCAGACCAACTTGAACAATCTAATTGGATTACCTTCAAGCTAATCACATCAAGGGTGGTTGAACCGTTTAGATCTGGATCAGCCTGGTCGGACCAAACCATATCGGTTCAGTCAATGGCGGATTGACTTGGACCGGCCCATATCAGGTTCGTACATGGGTTTGGAACTGAATAGACTTGCCCGAAGCGGGTCAAGAGAAGTAAGTCGGACCAACTCGGATCTGGGTCAGGGTTGTGCAGATACAGGTCGACCCGGGAGGTCCACAAAGCAAGAGGGGCAGATTTTGGGTCAAGCCAGACCAAACCATCCCACTCGGACTCATCCCAGATGATTCGGGTTGAGTCGGATTGGCATGTCCTGGGTCAGGTTAAGTTCGGAATGGTTGACTGAACCAAACAAATCGAACTGAGGTGATCAAGTCTATTCATATTTAGACCAAGTTGAGCTGGTCTAGACTTGGGTCAAGCTAATTTGGATTTATGTCAATTTGGGTGAAGTGTGTTGATTCGAGACAACTAAATTTAGTCAATAATTAACAGAAAATTAATGCATTAATGTAAATTATTTCATTCAAATGAAGAAAATAAAAAAAATGGCTAAAGAATTAATACTTATATCTGTAGTGGTTAACCCAATGGTTATCCACAACCAACCCATTTAAATTGACCCAATGGGTGATCAACCCATTTCCAATCCGCCAAGTAAATGGGCGGGTTGATAACTTTGTATTTTGATGCCTTAAGGGCATCATTTCAGGGGTATTTTTTGCCTTAGAATAGTCAAAGTGTGTCATTTTCCCAGTTAAATTCAATGTTGTGACCTTTGAGGGTCTTTGTGCAACTTTTGTGGAAAATTGGGGAAGTTACATGGCTGAACTGAAATTTTGGGAAGCTGGTGTGAAATCTAGCTGAGAGAGAGGGTGTTTTTGTGAAAATTTGAGAACAGGAGGGTGCCTCCTATCTGCTAAACCCAGAATGGTGCCCCTCCTACTATATTATCATGCTCCCCTCTCATTAGCAAACCCTAGGGTGCCTTCTAGCTCATTCTTTTCATCCTTAGCAAACCCTAACCGCCCCAAGATGCTCAGTCTCCACCTTCCATCCCTTCTAATCTCCACCATTCATTTTAGGACACTCTCTTTTTAGCTTTTTAACCCTAGGGCACCACCTAACTTCTAATCCTCACCATTCAGCCCCTAGTCATTAGATCTCAGCCATTCATTTCATTTTCTATCTCAACCATCCACTCTAGGGCGCCACCCACTCATTTTAATCTCCACCTTTCGACCCTAGGCGCCTTAATCTCCACCCTCCATTTCTAGGCGCCCAAATCTCAGCCCTACATAATATTGGGTACCCTCTCCTTCTCTTCTCAGCCTTAGGATCACCCTAGAACCATTCTAACCCTTCATTAGAAACCCTAGGGTGCCCATATCTTTGCTAAAACCCAACTGCCACCCCCTCTTTCTCTCTAATCCCAATTGTATCAACCCTTCTCTATAAGAAGGACCCAAGTGATCTTGAGAAGTTCAAGGGTAGAGGAAGAGGAGGACGCCCGAGCAAGAGGAGGGGTTCTTGCTTGCACTTCGCCTTTCAACCCTAGGCTCCTTAATCTCCACCCTCCTTTCAGCCCGAGCAAGAGGAGGGGTTGGATTCTAATCCTCACCATTCAGCCCCTAGTCATTAGATGTCAGCCCTCCATTCCATTTTCTATCTCAGCCATCCACTCTAGAGTGCCACTTTTAATCTCCACCTTTCAACCCTAGGCTCCTTAATCTCCACCCTCCATTTCTAGGCACCCAAATCTCAGCCCTACATAATATTGGGCGCCCTCTCCTTCTCTTCTCAGCCTTAGGATCACCCCAGAACCATTCTAGCCCTTCATTAGAAACCCTAGGGTGCCCATATCTTTGCTAAAACTCAGCTGTCACCCCCTCTTTCTCTTTAATCCCAGTTGTATCCACCTTTCTCAATAAGAAGGACCCAAGGGCTCCTGAGAAGGGGTTGGATTCTGCCCCCAGGTAAGACGAAAGGCTAATCTTAAGAAGTTCAAGGGTAGAGGAAGAGGAAGATGCCCAGGCAAGAGGAGGGGTTCCTGCTTGCAGTTCGCCTAAGCCACTACTACCACTTTTGGATTCAGATCCCAACCATTAGTCTTAAATTTAATTTATGTTCTTTCATTTCCAGTTTCGTTTTATCCTTTATGCAATTTACTTTCATTCAGTTTGATTTTTGGTTTCTTTTCTACAGATCTGGAATTTGGCCAGGTAAGACGGAAAGCCTAGCTCGAGAAATTCGAGGTTCAAAGGAGAGATCCGGAGATTGCTACCTCTGATCGGATTACAAACTTTTTATTTCGTTCCTCTTATTTATTTATTTCTGTTATTTATTTATTTATTTTGCACTTTTCACTCCCAGCATTGTTCAAATTTTATTTTAATGAATTTCAGTTTAATTAATTAAATTCAATGTTTATGCAACTCTCAATTGTGTTATCTTTCCCGGATTTATGTAAATAACGATTTTTCCCTCGCTTCCCTATGGATACGACTTGTTCTCACCATTTACTACGTTTGTAAATGTTTGAGAATCGAAAAAAAATTTATAAATATTAAAATTGGTGTTCCGAAGTCTCACCATTAACCATTTACTAGCGCTGTTGTCGGGGAAGCAACGGAAAAAAAAATTATTTGCTTTATCCAGATTTGTTTCATTATTTTTTATTTTTGTTTTATTACTTGATCCATTATCTCATTTTAATTCTTACTTCTCTTTGATTTTGTAGGATGAAATAGCGAAAGGTAGGGTACCGGAGCATTGTGGGACTGTAGGAGAGAAGAAAAGAGAAGATTAATTGGATTGCATTTCAGGTGTAATCGTCCCATTTTATTTTTTATTTTTTTCTCTTTTTTTGGTAGAATAGTGATTTTTGAATTTTTAATTAATTTTTTTTTCTAGATCCAATTTATTTTTTTAGTATTATTTTTCTTTCATTTTGTTTCTAAATCTAACTTTTTCTTTATTTTAATTTCTTGTTCAAATTTCTGTTTTATTAGGTTTGTTTGTTTTTTATTCT